ACTTCCGTGATCAAAATGGTCGTTATGTAGTGAAACTTCCATTTAAAAATAACCCTTCAAGGTTGGATAATTCTAAAGATCTTGCTTTACAAAGATTTAAATCTTTAGAGAGAAATCTCTTAAGATCTCCTGATACATATGATATGTATAAACATTTCATGAAGGAATACCTGGATCTCGGTTACATGGAACCAGTCCGTAGTTCAGAGTCCCCAAGTCAGGCATACTACATGCCAACTTCCATTTAAAGAAAACCCTTCAAGGTTGGGTAATTCTAAAGATCTTGCTTTACAAAGATTTAAATCTTTAGAGAGAAATCTCTTAAGATCTCCTGATACATGTGATATGTATAAACATTTCATGAAGGAATACCTGGATCTCGGGCACATGGAACCAGTCCGTAGCTCAGAGTCCCCAAGTCAGGCATACTACATGCCACATCATGCAGTAATTAAGGAATCTAGCTCTATGAGTAAAATACGTGTGGTATTTAATGCTACTAGTAAGTCTTCATCAGGACTATCTCTTAACGACATATTGATGACAGGTCCCAGAATACAACAAGAGCTATTTCCAGTTTTGGTCAAATTCAGATGTTACCCAGTAGTTGTCACAGCTGATATCATGAAAATGTTTAGACAAATCCTAGTTAATGAAGAGGATAGAGACTTTCAAAGGATATTTTGGCGGGACAGTCCAAGTGATCCTATTCAAGAATTTCGACTTCGAAATACTGTCACATACGGCACTGCCTCGGCTCCATATTTGGCTACTCGTGCTTTATACCAACTTGCTTACGATGAGCAGAATAACTACTCTTTAGCTTCGAAGGCTGTACTTCAAAACTTTTTTGTAGATGATTGTTTGGTAGGTGCTCAAAACACTGAAGAGTGCAAAAATCTAGTAAATCAACTCTTGCAAATGTTAGAACGTGGAGGATTTCTTTCGTGGAGGAACGTGGAGTAACTGCAATATAGAATGCATACCCATTTTTTCTATGACTAAATTCTATTACTTTATGTGTTGGTACTTTCAGTATTAAAGAAAACTGTACAAAATAAAAAAAGCCTTAATTTCTAAAGATGATAAAGAGGAAGAAATACCTTAAAAACTATTTTTAACAAGACAGAAAACTTATTAGTTATTAAATGAGCAACTGAGAACTATTTAAAACAGGAAAAAAAAATTTTTTTTGTTTCCTATTTTACTTTGAATGTTTAATTATTATTAATAACCACATAAACCTAAAATTAAGTTTATGGAGAAATCACATTATTCTCTTTTAATTTTTTTTGCAGTGTATTTTTAATTTAAGCAGTATTGAATTTTTTTTCAAAATAAAGCTATTAGAATGATTACTTACTGCTTCTTTCCATTTTGATTATGGAACTAATTATTAATTAATTACCAATTATTTAATTAAAGGTTCTGACATTCAGCAACATTGTGGTCTTTACATTAACATCATGCAATTACGAATTTCATTATATGAAATTAATTGTATGGAAATATAAGATCAGTTTACAAATTATATTTGAATTGCAAAAGCATTTATGTATTACACTGAAAGTAGACATAAGAAGAAACTAACTACATACTGAAACATTACATTTATCTTGTCTGCTACTTATTTTAATATTATATTCATCAATATACATTTTTCATCTAAGGATTTCTAAAAATGCATAGCTCTTAAAAGCAGTTAATTTTAGGAAAAAGTACAAATCATGAATGACATAATACATATCCACAAATTTACTGTTAAGATATTTAATTCCCACATTAAAACTTTAACAAGAGAGAATTTGCCTTAAAACTGTTATTAATATTTATTATGTTAAAAAATAATATACTACTTTAACTTTTTAGTTGACATATTAGTCACACACACAATTAAAGAAGCTCAATTGTTGTTGAAGCTTTTGTTATATTAAAAAATTTTTTTTGAAACTTTCCTTGTTTTTAATACTATTTATCCTGTATTTGTTTCCCTGAATAAGAAAAGAAAATTTACTGAGCACTTGAAATTAGCACTATTTTTAAAAAGTTACTTACGAGGAAAAGAACTATGTTAAAAAAAACTGGTGTTAATTTAAAGCTTCCCTTATGCAAATGAATTTCTCATCCACTCCCAAGTAATATCTTTTAGAAGTGAATGCTTCAGAATAGCACTATCAACAAATCTCTTCAACACTTTAAAGCATTTGCTAATATTTATATCTTTGAAAAGATCCATTTAAAATAATAAGGTAATTTAAATAAAATAAAACAAAAATTTTTTGCTCATTTATTTTTTTAAGTTAATGCAGCCTTATATGTTAGGCTTGTACGAGGGCAATTCGGAAGCTAACCTCCATTTCACTATAAATTAAAAACCTCGCATAGAAATTATTTTATTTACATCTGAAAGGTACAGCTGTCCTCTATTTTTCAACATAGTCATTATGTACATTCAAGCACTTGTTATAGCATTTTACCAACTTATTAATACCCTCTGCGTAAAACTCAGCTGCCTGTAATTTCAACAAACTTGTCATAGCAGCTTGAACTTCCTCATTATCAGCAAAGTGCAGTGCCATAAGCCACTTCTCCATTGCAGGGAACAGAAGGCAATCAGAAAGAAAGAAATCCGGTCTGTAGGGGTATGTTGAAACATGTCCTGTTTAAATTGGAGCAAAAGATGAGCCGGATGTTATCGTGCAGGAACACAACTTCCAGTAGCCTGATTTTCCAGTGCCTGCCTCACAGAAAATAGTCTAAGAAATGTCTTAAAATTGCTGTGAAAGTTCCGAGATTACGGATCTGATGGATTTTGTCGCCATTTTGTTTGACGAGATAATCACTCCCATCAGATAGCCTCCCACTCCTTGATTCATCATAAATGTTTGTTCTTCCTTCTGTGAAAAATGTCACCAACTGATGCACTACACCTTTACTCATTATGTTTGAGTGCTATGCAACACACAACTTATGATTAATGTCTGCCACTAACAGTTTTTTGCCCAAAGAAATCATATTACTAATCATACCTTCATCCTGGCAGGAATTTCAATGGCAGTGCACATTTTATAACATGCAAGGCAGTATGACACTCTCAATAGGATAGCAAGAAGCTTACTGAATCATAGATTGCTTGTTGTAACAATGGTTGCGCTCCTTCCATTACTGCTAGTGCCTACAATGGAAGTTCGTTTCTGAATTCCCCTTGTATGAATAATTATCTTAATAATACCATTATATTTGAATAAAATACAATATTGACACTGCTCTTATAATTTAAATATGTCAACAAAGTACTGACAAAGTCCTTCACTAGTACCAAAGCCATTTCTCAAACAGGCAATAGAAATTCTCAAAACAACTGTAAAAGATAATGAAAGTATTTGAAAATGACTCACAACTACATTCACTAATATTTTTAAATACATAGTAATAAGAAATCTCAATAAATAATCTACAAAAAAGGAACTGTTATGGTATTGTAATCGAAATAAAAGCAAACATGTCATTGCAGTTACTGCAGTTGATGAAAAGGGAAAAAAAAATGTTCTGAAGTTTCTATTAAATCGGAAATAATGATACCTAGCATCCTAGAGTCAGTAAAGCAGACAGAAAGTACAGTCAAAAGTCTTTAATCCGGACTCATCGGGACTTTGGCGATTCCGGATTATAGATCATCAGTTTAAATCTGGTAGGATGGCATGCAGAAATTATAAAATTAAAAATATGAAACCGTAATTTATGAATTAAAGAGCAATTATGATCTAAAGGGTATCAAAATTTACAAAAAAAAAAAGCTTAATATTTGTTTACTTTATTTCTTTCAACGTGCGCATGCGTAAAACATACATTACACATAGTCGAAATTAGAAAATTGCAACCAGAAAACTATTTGATGTGTATTCATGATATTTATAATGACAAGGAATTTGATTTAAATCATATCAAAGATGGAGTACATCGAGATGAAATACTACATTAGTAAGGAATTATAAGTCGAATAAAATAAAAACATCTGCCCTGAAGATAAGGATAGTGCTGACAGATCAACTTCTAGTTCATTGCGGGCCGCGACATTCCCCCCCTCCCCCCGGCAGAGCAGCATGAAATTGATAAACAGATTTCAGAATGGTTAGAGAAACAAAGGATATGCCTTTATCCATTTTTTGCAGCAATTCCACTTTTTGTTTGATGGACATCGAAACATGCTTTCACTTTGTAGATCCTTTGGCAGCTTCAGAATCGGAAATTCTTCTTCACATAATCGAAAGTTCAAGCTTACTTTTATAAAATTGCTCTAACAGTCTGCAAAAAATAATAAGCCGGGTCCAATTAGAAAAGTAAGGAACAACGCAATCTGCAACCTTAACTGAAATAATTTAGATAATTTTAGCTTAGCTTATACTGTCCGTTATACATTAAACGCACATGCGTAAAGGTACCATGCACATGCGTAGACGCATTATGCTTGTACGCATGCACAGAAAGTTTGTAGCTTTGAGGTCTGGATTATAGATCATTCCCGATTATGGACGTCCAGATTTAAGACTTTTGACTGTATAAGCTTGTACATATCTCCTATGAAGCTATATATTTTTTTTTAACGTGCAACTTACTGTAGTAATGCTATAAAATGTCTGTATGGATGAAAAAAGATGGAAATTCCATATGAAATGATTTACAAATACCATTTAAGAAAACAAGAAAATTATTTATTACACTACTAATTAAATGGTAGGAACTTAGTTACTGCACATTAGCAACTGCATCATCCTTAGAAAATTTCCCCCCTCCCTGAGCTTTTCCTGCTTAATAAAAATTGAATAAATTTACTTAATTATTTATCATTCAGATACAAATAAAAAAAAGATTTAAAAAGTATTTTTAGTTAAATTTAGAATTTTTTAAATATAAATAATAATTTTGCAAAGACTTCAGTTTAAGATTTTATCTTATATTTTTCTTGCAATTAAATATTTAAATAATGTAATTATATTTACTTGTTTGGCACTGTTTTCAAAAAGGACAAACTGTTGGCATTGGTCTAATCTCTTTTTTCGGGCTGTCCAATGCTCTAAAACTTTATTTTCCTGATTCAAGAGTTGTTCAAGAATACCTTTAAAATCAAAATTTCAAATAATCTTTTAACAAAATCTCGCAGACTGTTGAGTTTATATGCATGTACACACACAAACATATGTTTAAAGAACAAATTCAATATAAATTAAATAATTATGAAAAATATCAATAAATAGTATTAATACAAGAACTACTGATGATTAACACACATCTATTTCCACCAAAGAAGAAAAACCCATCATTTGATAGATTGGTAGCTCTAATTTCAGTAAATGAAAAGGCAAAATTAACTCTCAAGCAAGCTATAGATTTAATAATAATTTATTCTGAAGATTTTCATTTTTTAAGCTTTTATCAAAAAATCCATATAGAAATACACTGTTGGTCATTAAAATTGCAACACCATGATGGAAAACAAGTACAAAATAGTTATTTATTGTACATAAGCAGTATGTAATGAAAACAAAATAATTAAATTTGTAAGCAGTTTTGGGATTTACAGGGGAGTGAAATTAAAAGAAACAGCTGACACCCCTGGCACCTAAAACGGCCCTTACCTGGTTAGCTGGAGAGTATTAGTATTAGCTGGAGAAAGGTGCAGGCCAGACTGCTAGCAACTCATGACCAGATGTTTTATATGGATGACAGATCTGGAGACCATGCAGGCTAGGGCAGCAATTGAATACCCTGTGTATAGAAGAAGGTCAGAAAACAACAAGCAACATGTGGTGTGGCATTATCTTGTTGGAAGATGGCGTTCAGCAGGCCTCAAAGATAAGGCACAAGCAATAGACGTAAGATGTCAGAAATGTACTGATCTGATTACCACCGATTCGAACTAGAAATGTGCATGTTGTGTACCCAATGGCTGCCCAAGCCATCAGACCAGATGCTGATATCGAATGCAAGCAGTGACGTGCGGTTTCCTTGGAGCCTCCAGTTACATATATGGCCATCAGAATACTGCACCCAGAACTGGGACTTGTCTGAAAAGATGACATTGTGCCACTCCTGTATCCAGCTTTGTTGTTTTTTCACACCAGAGTCACCGTCTCTTTCTATGCTGTATTGTCAAGGAAAGACGAAGTAATTATCACTACCTTGATAGTCCATGCTGGTGCAAACAGCGACACACCGTACAAGTGGATACTGGGCGTGCTGCAAACATGTCCATTTCTTGTCTAATGGTCCGTGATGTGGTTGTACAGTTTTGCAGGGCTTACTGCACAATATATCTATTCTCTCAGGTGTTAGTCAGTTAGTTATGGTAGACCATTGAGATTCTGCATGCTATTCAATATGACAATCAGCAGCCCATTGATTCCATGTTCGCATGATAGTGGTTGGATGTCGACCGTGCAACGGCAATATCACAGAATGATAATAGTGCTTCAGATGTCTCAATGCGCTGAAATACTAATCATTTGCATATCCCAACCTCTTCTTCCATTCATGTGATTATGACCTTCTTCAGAGTATTCCTTCCTGGTGGTGCAATTTTAATGGCAAGCAGTGTAATTAGAAATTTACTTTATGATATTTATTAAAATACATATAACATATGTATATATAAAATACATACAAGAGATTTATATTATATAAATCCTATTAATAACAACCTCTTGAAATCAATAAAAATATGCAGCTAATAAAGGCTTGAAAATTTGAGATTAACTTGGATCATTATATTTTCTCATGCAAAAGAAAACAAATTGAAAAAAATAGTAAACTGTGAAAAATTAAAAAACTGCCAATTACAACAAAAGCAAAAAGTCCACAATGGAGAAAAAAATCAGTAATAAATCTGTTTAAAATAAATAAACACAGAAGCACTATCCTAAAAGCAGGACCAGCTCTAAGAACAGGTGAAACAGGAAACAGTCTATGGCATCAAACTAGGTTACAAGCAACAACTAAAAGGCTTTGAATGTATTAATGTGTTTAATTTATATAAGGTGGCAAATGAAGCTGGGCCTGCCTAAGAAATATGCATAATACTGAGATTCTGCAAAGAAAGGAAATTCGAAAACAATGTACTTAATCCACAATTTTTTCTTCAAAAAAGTAGGACTGAAAATTAGTTGTGGAAGGGAGGAGAAACAAAGAGGTTATGCTTTTGACATTTATAGTGATCAGAATGACAAATTTGAGAATCAAAACAAATCAAGAATGATACACGTAAAAAAAAAGAGAGAGGGGATAAAATTACATATGGAGAATTTTCACCAAAAGTAGCTAAAGGTTTCATTTCCTTAAGTATTTAGCACAGATTTCCAATTACAAAGCACATATTTCTAATTACAAAGTTTCTCTAAATACAGTATATAATTTTATGAGAATGGTTTAAGTATTCCAGGCAAAATGCTTTGAAAATTAAAAATTTAACTTTTCATTTGGTTTCTGTTGTACACAAAGCCCAGCTGGAAAATGTTCATCTATATATATATATATAAGCGGCTTAATTGTTTGTCGCCGATAGTTTATTGGTTGCTTGCATAAATATAAATTGTTTTATTCTCCATGCAGTGCAGCATGTGACTAAATTTAACATCTATATATAATAGAATTCGGAAATATGCAACCAGCAAAACCGGCAACGATGAAAAAAACAAATAAAATGAAATAAATAAATATCTTTATTATATGCGGCTAAGTGTTTGTTTGTCGCCGATAGTTTATTGGTTGCTTGTGTAACTGTACTAGTCAATGAGGTGAAGTTGCCATGGCACAGAGTTGCCATTTCAATTGAGACGTAGACAATTTCCTGTAAAACTTTGCCTTTGCGATGACCATCAATAAGCCTCAGGGCCAAACGCTTAAAGTGTGTTGGCATTTTTTTACCTGAGCCTGGACATGGTCAACTTTAGGTTGCCTGTTCAATAGTTCGTGAAAGAACGGATGTAAAATTAAAAATAACTGATGGTCCTCTCTGCAAGGTGAGCTTAAAAATGGTGGAAAGAAACACGAGAAATGTTGTGTACAAAGAGATCTTTGACATGTGAATTAACATTTTATTATTTAAATCACCTTTATTTATTGAGCTAGCGGTGGCTCTTAACTGTACCGCCAGTGGTTTCTTTCATTGCACTTTACTTTAAGCAATTAAGCAAGTAGAAGGAGGAAAACCCCATGGGGCAGTAAGCAAAGGGGCGTCCTCGCCGCCTGCCCTAGGCCTTTTTATCTTTTATTTTGATTTTGGTACTTCTACTTTCAGTCCTAAAAAAAGTAACTATGTTATACTAAGCTACATCATTTCAAAATTAATCAAGATCATACAATCTTACAGAATACCACAATGCAGATACCGCTCAGCCAATACCTCAATCAGATTTCAATTGAGAACCAAAACTTTTTGATTCTCTCGCACAGTTCTGAATGCATCTCACCTTTTTTACTTTGCTTGCTTTGTGTTAGGGTGCACTGCTTAACTTTCTCATCCATTGTATGTGCCAAAATGTATTAAACTTTATAAAATGTGGGGTGCAGATTGCACTCATAATGATATGTGAATCAGAATATGCACCGCAGGGACTTGCAGAAAAATAATGTTGAATTTACGGCTACATTTGTCTGCAAGTTCCACCATTCTACTATGCAGTTACACCTTCTACATGGCAGCACTATCTTCTCAGCCATGATTTAAAACGATTTTTGTCTTCTCTCCACATCCTAAATTATTATATTTATACATAGAGCACATATTATTCAAAAATTATGAAAAGAAAATAACATATATACCTTTAACTTTATTTTCTGAAACTTTATGATTAACTTCAGTATGTGAACTATAATACTGCACACATCGAGAACTGTACTTCAGGAATGTTTCTGCAGTGCGCCGAGCAAGGGTGCAAGCTTTTAAGAAAGCTTCTTTTTGTTCTTGATGTTTTGTCAAGAGTTGAGACACCAGAGATACTTTATCTTGATTTTCTTTTGCATCATTACTTTCACTACTGCTACCACACCAATCTTCATCCCTTCGATATTCTCTTTCTAAACTATCCAGAACGGAGCACACCTTCAAAAAAGCAACACTTAAATGTAGCATAAGATATATTATTTTAAATATGAAATCACAATTCATCTAAACATTAAATAATGTAAACTATTTTAAGTTATGAAAATTTAATATCAGTGCAGATACTGCAAGCATTAATATTAATGAAAGTAAAATCACTAAATTTAAATGAAAAATGAAAAACTGAAATTATGGATATATTAGAATTTAATTTTTAGCCTCTTCCTAAAGTGTATAAATAAATAAATACAGTTCATAAAACAGATGACACCTGAGGTTTAGCAATATAAAATAATATTGAAATCATAACACTAATCTAAAAAATTTCTTATTTTTAATAAATTTCAGCATGATAATCACAAAGTATTAAATTACCATATGAACAAAAACAAAAATAGAGGGGTGAGAGTTTTATGTGATTTACATGGGCATACCACAGTCTCTCTCATGATTTAGCCATATGAAGAAGAAATATACTAAGCTTTCAACTTTAAATGGTTTATTGCAAAGTAAAATTAGAAAAACAGGATAATTGTATTTATAATTTCACAGATAAAAATTAGAGAACTGTGATATTTTTATTTCAGCATAATATGAATGAAATCTAAATTCTTATCTATAAAAAAATTATTACACTAAATCATTTCACTGCCCCTCCCTCCACTTTCTATCATATTTATTGCAAAATTTCCATCCACATGTTTGTCATATATATATATATATTGTGTGTGTGTGTATCATATATATATATATGTATCTATTATATTAAAGAGAGAAAGGGAGACAGATATATATATTTAAAAAGGTACTTAAAAACCATACCATTTGGCAGTTTTGTTGGGGTGGAAGGGAATATTGGTATCAGGTGTCTTCAGTTTGGAGCCTTCCTTAGCAACTAAACTTAGCAGACGCAAATATTTTAGAATTTAGGAAAGCACTAGGCAACAAAATTTAGTCAGTTTTTAATTTTTTATTAAACAAAAATTTCCTTTCTACGATCTAGAACAATTTTTACAATTTTCTATACTTGTCTCTGATAAAATGAGGAGAAAATAAAGAGAAGATGAACAAGTACAGAGACAGATATATATATATTTAAAAAGGTACTTAAAACCATACCATTTGGCAGTTTTGTTCGGGTGGGAGGAAATATTGGTATCAGGGTGTCTTCAGTTTGGAGCCTTCCTTAGCAACTGAACTTAGCAGACGCAAAAATTTTAGAATTTAGGAAAGCACTAGGCAACAAAATTTGGTCAGTTTTTAATTTTTTATTAATCAAAAATTTCCTTTCTATGATCTAGAACAATTTTTACAATTTTCTATACTTGTCTCTGATAAAATGAAGAGAAAATAAAGGGAAGATGAACAAGTACAGAGAAAAACTTCTTAAGATTAAAAGATCAAAAATAAAAAATTCAAATACTTTTGTTTCATCCTGTTCTTTTAAAATCTTTTCAAAAAATAAGAACTTCATCAAAAACTTAGTGTAAATCATCACAGTGTTTTTTCATAATAAAGTCCTTTTTCATTTAAGTCATATTTTAATGGAATCTTTTAGAATGATATGTCTATACATTTTGCCTAAACTTTCCAAAGTGCAAAGTCAAAAATTCAAAAGAACAATTATATATCATATCAACTCTGCAACAGTAAAAAGCCAGAAGCTTTTTGAAAAAAAAAAAAAAAAAATTCAGGAAAGAAAATTGTAAAGTGAACTTTACAGAGAAAACTGAAACACATTTGGATATCCTGAAGCAATTACATGGGGAACACTCTTATGAAAAAATATAAAAAGACAAATGAAATTTATTTTTAAATAATTACAGTAGCTTTCTTGCTTTTGCTAAAAAGTATTTTCGAAGCTGTGATCAACATTTATTTTCTTGCTTAATTTTCACAATTAAAATATTCCTAAATTGCCAGAATAGAAAGTAATGCTACTTTAAAATATAATTTGGGAAAATGAAATACAATTTCAGTACATTATCATTATTTTAATCATATTTATCAATGTTATTATGTTTGTAAAAGTAAAAAATCTGATGTGTACACCACATGACTTCCTTGTACGGAATATTAAATTATACGCATTTTTTTTTTCTTGAATTTCATTTAAATTGATTGGATTGATTTAAATCTACTTCGTCAACAGCGCATAAACCACAATAGAATAAATGCACTCTTTAAAATTCACTCTAGTATTTGTTTACTATGAAGACACTCTGATTGCACAAAATTTATATCATTTGAAGAATTATCTTATTGTTGCCACATTTTCTATTCAAATACTATAATAAAGCTAGAACAATGTATGAGAGAAATTAAGCAAACAAAACAGAAAAGAAACAGTTTTTCACAGACGATTTAATATTTCTTATTCAATTAATTCAGTTCTTACTTCGCGACAAGGCAAAAATACATAAAACTCAAAATATCTGTATTAAAAAAAATTATGAAGTAAATCTTAAACACTTATTTCTTCGAAAAAATTCCAGAAAGGATTAAGCATGATTTAATTCGCAATAATAAATGGAGGCGTTATATTTGTTGTTGCGAACCTTAGTCTCTCTAGATTGGCAACAAATCTACAATTCTGCTGTTTCAAATGCAAACAAATATGTCCACCATGTTATTTAAAACTTAACCGCACTTAAATAGCTTTTAAATTGTTGATAATTGTACAAATATTGCTTCCAGAATTACGAAAGGCATAAAAACCTTAACCGGAAGATAAAAACAACATAATTCAATCATAATCCAAGCAAAAAATGTACAATTTACAAACATATAAGAGTAAAGAAACTGAGATCACTGTGCCGTGTAACAGAGTGGATATATATATAAATATAGTATTTGTATATGTTTGGTGCGGCCGATTGCAACCAAAATACGAGGTGCACATCTACATATTATAGCAGTCCTATATACAAAATTTCAACGTTCTGAGGCTACTCGTTTTTGAGTTATGTGAGATACGTACGTACGTCTGTACATACGTTCGTACAGACACCAAGAAAAATTCTCTTGAGAATTAATTTAAAGCAGTTTTATAATTTTTTTTGAGGAAACGAGTCTTTTATTCTGTCCTTACGTACAGATATCACGCAAAACCATCGTTAAATTGCATTCGATAGTGGTCAAAAGGGATATTTTCGTTGAAATATGCTGCCTGAAACTTTTCGCGATTACAATACTTCCTTTTTACTTCGTACAAGGAAGTAAAAATTGTTAAAAAATTTGGAACTCTGCAATCCAAAATTTTGCATACAACTTTTATTTTAAAATCACTGGAATGTTGGCAAATGCTAAAATTTAGCACAGCATAACAAATGTAGTCATTTCCAACACAAGAAATATTTTTTTTTGATGTAATATATTATGAACTTTTCATTCCCCAAAAAGAAATAATTTCAAAATGCTTACGTTCAATCAAGGTAAAGGCCTCCACCCAGCAACTTGAGTAAACACCATTTATTAAGGTTGAATTCAAAAGATAACCATCATGTACGTATTTGTCAATAAATCGAAAAAAGGAAAAAAAATTCAACCGAAATGTTTATTCTCATTCAAAATGGCACACGAGTAAAATTATGGACCTTTAATGAAAGATTTTGGCAGAAATTAAGTACTAAAAATCATTTCCAAAACCATAAGGATTTTAAGGACCTATTCTCCACACATTATGCATCTACCTTAATAAATGTAATTCACACCCACACAAACACACACCAAAAAAAAAAACTTATTTTTATATGCTGAGAATACAAATAAGTCTTTGCCGTTTGACAAAAAATAGTGGCACCAGTAAATTATGGTTAAAATTGTTTGATGTAAAATGTCATATTGTAATTGGACATCTGCTAACAACATATTAAATTAACTCTAAAATATTAATCATGTATCAGCATCATGTATTTATTTATTTATTTTGTGGGGGTGTAAAAATGTCGAGCTTTAAGATGAATGAGCATTATTTGTGGGAACCTTTGATTTACTTCTTTAATTGAAGAAATCTGCAGCTGAGGTGTATTAATTGCTTGTAGAAGAGGCTGCCTTGAGTGACAGAAGTTGTCATCATTGGTTTCAAGAGTTTAAAAATGGTGATTTTGATTGTCACAACAAAATGATGAAAGTGTACAAAGATTTGGCACTGGAAGTAGTATTGGATAAAGATTTGTGCCAAACACAAATAGCACTTACATTAGAAGTGACTAAACAAGCAATTTCACGTTGGTTAATATCACTGGGAATAATTTAAAGACAAAGATATTGGGTTCAATATAACCGACAATGAGAAACTTAGAATGCCATTTTTTACACACGACAGTAAGGATTTCTTTTTGACATCTTAGAGTTTACATTGATGAAAAATGGATACACTATGATAACCCAAAGAAGAAGAAATGATGAGGACCACCTGCCATACTTCAAATTAGCAGCCAAACCAAATATTCATGGGAAAAAATCACATATATATGGTGAGATCAACTTGGTGTCATGTATTACAAGTTGCTCTAACCAAACAAAAGCATTACTGGGGTTCTCTGTCAAACACAATTGCTGAGATTGAGCTGAGCACTCAAAAGAAAAATGTGCCCACTACTACTCCAGATATGACAAAATTATTCTCCTGCATGGTAACGCTCATCTACATGTTGTGGCGCCAGTCATAACCTACTAGGAAACACTTAAAATGAGGAGTTTTTCTCCTCCCGGCTGTATTCATCAGACATTGCTCTTTCTGATTACTACTTGTTTCAATAGATGATGCATGGCCTGCCTGAACAGCGCTTCACATCACATGAAGATACAAAAAATTAGGTTGATTTGTGGATAGCCTTGAAAGAAGAAGTTCCTTCTGATGCAGTATGGATATGCTGCCAGAAAGATGGGGAAAAGGTAATGGCTAGCAATGGAAAATCAGTTAAATAAAACATAATGTACCATTCTTTCACAATAAATGCCCAGTTTTTTATAAAAAAAAAAGTGACAGAAACTTATTCATACCCCTGATACCATATAAAAGGAAATACTTCTTAATTAAGACACAATAACACGCCGAATAAATACTAATTCAGAAGTCAAACAACAAAAATCAGCGTTATACCTACAAAAATACTTCTTAGTTCATAAACAAAGTAAGTACATTACTTGTTCAGCAGTTTTATAGAAATTTAGAGAAGCTGTAGTTAATTTATGTCTATCTTCAGCATGTGTCATCAACTGATGCCAGCTGGAATTCACATCATCACAGACTGCACGGATACTTGAAGGATCATAATGATTAACTTGAATAAGGGATTCAGCTCTCTGTTGCACCAGCACGGCACTTGAATGAGTTTTCTAGTTTGAAAATGTGATAAAAATAATTTTGTAATAAATTTGAAATACAATAACAATTTCAAAATGCTTTCTTTAAAACAAAATCAATTTGGTATAAATATCTTTGAAATGAAAATTTAATAACATGTTTATTGCCTATCAATATAAAATACATTCACTACACTTTATATTTAAAAAATTCACATTTTTCTGAAACAATACAAAAAATTCGATACAAAAATGCTGCAGGTGATTTTAAATTGTAGTTCAAAGTTTTAATGGTCCAATACACTTTAACAGACTAACATTGCAAATTAATTTTGCATCAGTTTTAGGGGATAAAAGAATGTTTCACTGCAAACAAAATGAAAAAAAGAAAAAAATTGATATCTAAAGCTTCAAAGATGCATGAAAACATGAAAAATTAAATAACTTTTCTATTTAAATGCATTTATAATTCCATACTTTAAGATTTCTTCAATTCCAAATAACATTTAAATTCTTTATTCCCGATTTGGTTTTCAGAAACTTTTCTAGTGTATCATTTTTTGTCATACAGTCTACCATAAAATGGTAATGTGATTAATCTTTGCTTTGAAAGTTTAATTTGTTATTTTCTAAATTCTCCTTTTTATGGTAAATTTTCTGGCAAGAAATAATGCTAAAATATGAAATTGGAAATATTTAAATACTTTAAAATAATTTAGTTTAAATACTTTGTTTACAAATAATTACATATTGTTACGAATTTGGTATTTAAAAAGCTAATATTAGTTCAATTATAAATTAATTGGTTTTATTTCTCGCGCAGTGCAGCGCGTGACGAATATTAAAAGAAAGCTAAGCCGGAAAATTGAAAATACAAGAGCGCGTGCATTAAATAAATAAATATCTCTTTTTGATTTCGAGAAAGTACTGGAAAATTCTAGCGCGTGATTTTAAAATCTTATAAAAGGAGGAAAACATCTCAGTTTGTAGTAGTTGCTTAGTTTGTTGTTGTTTAAAAAAACTGCTCTTGTTGATTGTAGCGAATTCGCGGATTAGCGTTCTTTAGCTGTTTTGAATTACGTTCTATTGGACATTTGAGTAGTTAAAAGATAACTACTGTGAGATATTGTAATACTGCATGATAATTTGAGAAAATTTAAGCATTTTTGTTGTGATAATAATAAATTTTTGTTCATTTTTTTCATCGGACTTGTGCATTCATTTCATAACGAACCCGTACGCACGCAACAATTTTTGGTGTCAGAAGTGGGATTTGAATGCCAATAACAAGAGCGATGGAAGAACAATTAAGGCAAATGATGATCTGCATTTGCTGCTTTCCAAGAAAAGATGGAAGGGGCCGTCAACTCCGTTAAGGAAGAAATGAAATTGGGCCAGGAATCCGTTAAGGACGAAATGAAAGCCGTTCAAGCTGGTCAAGAAAAGATTGAAGCACGTCAAGAAGAAATGAAAAGAGAAATTACCTGCATAATAGAAAATAAATTTGAAGCTATAGAAGGCAGAATTGACACAGTTGAAAATAAAGTTGGACAAATTGAAGAAAAAGTTTCTTCCGTAAAAGATCAAATTGAAGAAAGAGTTTCTTCGGTGAAAGAAAAATAGAAGAAAAAGTTTCTTCTGTAAAAGAACCATATAGAAGGGAGAGTTTCGGCTGTGGAGGAACGAATTGAAGGAAGAGTTTGTGCCGTCCAACACCAAGTCGAACAACAATTGATGATAGAGGTTTCTGCAGTTGCCAAAGAAGTGGACACTTTAAAGAAATTCGTAGCGACGGCAGGGAGCAAGAATGATGGGTTTTAAATTCTTACCGATGCCTGCTCGTCCATTTCTGAAGCTATCCACATATGATGGGAAGACATCCTGGCAAGTGTATAAACACAATTTTTCTATCGTTGCGGATGCGAATGGATGGGATTCCCAAGCTAAGGCCTGTCATCTCGCCGCTTCTTTAAGAGCAGACGCAGCGGATATCCTGCAGACGCTTCCCGAAAACAAAAGGTTAGATTTCGAAGCTCTGTCCGGCGCATTGGAGCTGCGCTTTGGCGAGAAATGTTTTAAAAGACTACAGCAGGCTTCAATTAAAATCCCGTCAACAGAAGCCCACCGAATCACTTCAGGAGCTCGCCACGGATGTTGAAAGGCTGTCACCATCACGCCTTTTTCGGAGTGCCCGACAGAAACAAGGGAAATCCTGTCCCTGCAATATTTCATCGATGGCATCCGGGATCCCGAAATACAGAAGGCTCTACGAATGGCGGATGTTAAAGATTTGAAAAGCGCTTTAGTGTACGCCATGAAATTCGAGGCAGCCCAGCAAGCCACTCGTCGAGACCGCCACCCAGTCAGAGCTGCTCAAGTCCAGGAGCCAGGGGATCAAGTCACCGCTCGTCTAGACGATTTAACTAGACAACTGAACGCCTTGAGACGGAATATTGGTGATAAGAAACCGACCGTTAAGTGCTGGAACTGCGGTGCTGAAGGACACATACGACGAAACTGCAGAACACCCCAGGGTACGGATGTTAAGACCGCTCCTAACAAACAGCAGGGAAACTAATTAGTGGCCATCTCGCGGGGCGGAGGTTGCCAGATAATGAAAAGCCCCAGTTTAAAGCGCTTCAGATTTCTGCAGTGAGAGGCGGCAGTAATGGACTTTTCATAATAGGACATATTAATGGAGTTCCCTGCAATATGACGATAGATACAGGAGCCAACGTTACCATCATCCGAAAAGATTTGGCTCAACAACTGGGAAAGCAAACTTATCTGGACGCCGCCCTGCGTTACCCTACCAGACTGTGTCCGGTGAGAAGATCGACATCGATGGAAAAGTAAATGTTAACATCACGTTTGGAAGTGCCGCTTACCATCACACGGCATATGTAGCAGAGATCACTGATTCTTGCATACTCGGATTGGACTTTCTAAGGAAATACAATTTTTCCTTGGACTTTAAAAATAACGAATTGCATTCTGCGTCTGAGGACATAACGTTATTTGGAATTAATAATGAAGAAGTTAAATCTGTCCACAGAATCATAGCACAAGACAATATCACAATACCGGCAAGAACAGAAATTTTACTCCCTGGATCTATAGCCGAAAACAGAGCTTTCCGCTACGGCATCATAGAATATCCCAATAACTGTAATAGCCCGAAAGGAGTACTAGTAGCCTCAACACTCGTCGACCTATTGAGAATGGTTATCCCGGTGAGAGTTGCCAATGTAACTGAGAAGGCGAGAGTTATTAAGAAAGGCGATGTGGTTGTAGCATGTACTCCAGTAACCAGCGTTGAAAGAAAGAGCAATATCCAAGAATCCGTGTCCTCAGAGAGCATTACATCGGAGTTATTGCAGAATGCGCAATTGAACGATGAAGAGAAGAATGCTGCCGATCGCGTCATTAAAGATCTTCAAGTTGTTTTCTCCCGCTCGTCTTCTGACGTGGGTCGAACTAGTTTGACACAACATAGAATAGATACCGGAGATCATCCCCCGATCAAGCAACATCGAAGACGTCTACCTTTTGCTAAACAGGAAGAGGTGCGAACACTGTTAAAAGATATGGAAGAAGGCGATGTCATCGAGCCTTCAGCGAAGTCCATGGGCATCTCCCATCGTTCTCGTCAGAAAGAAAGACGGCTCAACAAGATTTTGCGTTGACTATCGCCGGTTGAATGAGGTTACGAAGAAAGACAGTTACCCTCTTCCTAGAATTGACGACATTCTAGAGACACTCTTTCTGGAAGCAAGTGGTTCTCAACACTTGATTTAAAGAGTGGGTATTGGCAGGTAGAAATACAGCCTGATGACCGAGAAAAGACGGCATTTACTACGGGACAAGGGCTTTGGCAATTCAAGGTGATGCCGTTTGGACTGTGTAATGCGCCGGCAACATTCGAACGTCTTATGGAGACTGTTTTGAAAGGTCTTTCCTACGAAGCCTGCCTGATATACCTGGACGACATCATCATCGTCGGAAAGAGTTTTGAAGAACATTTAGAAAATCTTAGGAAGGTGCTTCAGAAACTGAAAGAAGCCAATCTGAAGCTGAGTCCCGCTAAATGCAAATTGTTCCGAAAGGAAGTGACTTACCTGGGACTTGTCATCCCTGCAGAAGATGTGCGCTCGGATCCTGAAAATGTATCAGCAGTTAAATCCTGGAAATGTCCCAAAAAAATGTTCATCAGCTGAAAAGCTTCCTAGGACTTTGGCACCTACTATAGGAGATTCGTGAAGGACTTTTCTTCCATCGCAAGACCCCTTCACAAGCTGACAGAGAGCAAGCAAAGATTCTTGTGGACAAAAGAATGCGAGGATGCATTTAACAACTTAAAGGAGGCTTTAACATCTGCTGCAATCCTGACGTATCCTCAGCTCGACCGACCATTTATTCTTGACACCGACGCGAGCAATGAAAGTGTCGGTGCTGTTTTGTCCCAAGAAATAGACGGCCAAGAACGTGTATTGGCCTACTGGAGCAAGTGCCTGTCTAAACCGGAGAGGAATTATTGTGTCACCAGGAAAGAGTTGCTCGCCATAGTCAAAGCCGTAGAACAGTTTTATCACTATCTATATGGCAGAAAATTCCTGCTCCGCACCGATCATGCATCATTGACCTGGCTTTTAAATTTCAAGAATCCTGAGGGTCAAATAGCCAGGTGGATACAGAGACTCCAAGAATATGACATCACTATCCGTCATCGTAAGGGATCATCACACAGAAACGCCGACGCCCTGTCTAGAAGATCTTGCCAAGAAAGCTGCCGATATTGTTCCAGGGTGGAAGCGAAATACGAGCTGCTGACTCCGGTCGCAAGACAAATTACAACATCAACATCGGCTGATCGAGAACCGTGGAGTGATGATGAAGTCAGGAAAGACCAGCTGGAAGACCGCGACATTAAACCGATAATTGATTTAATGGAGTCATCAACCAGAAAACCTACCTGGCAGGACATTTCTATCTGTAGTCCTACAACCAAACAGTATTGGGCACTCTGGGATTCA